GGTGAGCGGGATGATTGGTGGTGTCATGTCCCATGGTTACATCTAGTCTGTGGCAGCGGCGAAGTTACAGTCCGTGATGTCGCTGTGCCATGCGGATTTGCATAGCCTTGGTGGCAAGTGCGTTCGCATGTCTCTGGTGCCGGGGAACTGAAACATGCGTGCGCAAACGCGGCGCGCCGCTGGTGAGCGGGACGATTGAGCATCCGACAAGAGTGTCCCACCAGAGTGTCAAGCAATGTTTGGTCGTTTGTTTTCGAGTACGTGTGTGCATTCGGGTTCGTGGGCTCCATCTTGTTTTTGTGTATGTGGCACCCTTCACATGCTGAGCAATATCAAGGGAAGGGCTCCGCGTACCCAATGTCTTCTGCTTTGCATCCGTCAGCCATAGGTGACGACCACAAAAATCCAAACTGCACAAAGGAATAGAGCATTTGGAGGACCACCTACAAGACCCAAAGATTGTCGAAAAGAACATACGTCTTCCATCTTTGCCACAGGCTTCGTTTGGACTGGCTGCCTTCAGACGCGTTGTGGCTTTTTGCAACTGAAAGTCTTGAAGCGAAGCGTGTTCTGTTTGAATAGGGTGCTTTGCCCGCTTGGAGCCAGTACCCAGCTTGAGTGAGGCTCTAAAAATATCAGTCAGTAGTCCCCTGGCGACTTGCAGCCTGCATTTTGACCATGAGTTCATGAGCAACCGGGATCTCGATATGTCACATACCTTTCCTTGAATTGGTCGTTCCGTTAACTCTTGCACTTCCTTTCTACAGAGCTGATTTTGTTTTTGAGGCCGATGGCAACTGCCCTGATGTCTTGTTCAAGTGGCTGTCACTGTGGCTGTCCTGGATACTTTTGATGTTCCTATCGTTGGAGGTTATGGGCGAGAGAAGCTCGGATTCGGGGTGCACCCTTCCCAGCCTTGGATCCCATGCTATGCGGTCAGGGAAATGCAATGTGGTCCCAAAAACCGATCAGGCCGCTGATTGCAACATTTACCACGTCACGACCTGCCAGGCAACCTTGTGCAACGCATTTTATGACTTGGCTTCCATCAGCCACTTGCCCTTCACTATGGCACCATCCTTTATCTACCTATATATCATCCTATCTACCTATCCATTTGTTGTCTGCCTATGTTCCCTCACCTCAAGCAGCACCGTGCACCATCTCAAATCAGCTACAAGAGGTGAACATGCATCGCAAAAGCCTGGCAATTCTTGGGACTAGCAGCGAAGCACAAGGAACACATGGGTCGAAAAAGATTCAGAAGCATTCTCACTGCATGGCTCGTCCAACAAAAAAGAATGCCTACCAGGATCTGTATGGTAGGCGAGGCGCCCGTGGAGGCCATTCACCCACTTGGCGTTCTTCCGCTTCCATGCGCTCTATGGCCTCTGATGTCACAGCTTGGCACACCAAACCCATCAACCAAAGCCTTCCAAGGGACTGCATGCCCAAGCGCCCTCCACATTGCAGATTCGGCATGCCGCAGTCCATGTCCGCTCCCTGAGTTGATCATGCAAGTGTGTTGGTTGGACGGAGCCTGAGATTGTTCTCCGCCGAGATTCTGAAGGATGGTCTCCTGTTCTCCGCCGGGAGAACATCCAACACATCTCCGACAGCATACACTGCCTCAACATGCTTCACACTTTGTGCACACACACCTTGGGGATTCAGACTTGGCTTCCTGCTGGGAAGGCCGGACCAGATCCATTAACTCTCCTGACAATGCCATTATGGCAAAAACAGCGACAAGATCTTGTATAGCTTCTAAGGCCGTGGAATTGCACTTGCATGATATTGCATGAGCATAGACCAGCACTACTGCCCATAGGAATGGCACAACGCAGGCGATATCTTGCAGGCGCGAGCCATTCTGTGGCTTTGGATCACTAGTTCTACAGTAAAACTTGTGCCATGTAGTACACTGGCGACCAGCAACCATCATTCCATGATTGGGCAAAGGCAAACAAAAGGTCTCAGTCAAGATCGGCAGCAAGTTTGGAAGTGTAACACCCAAATGGTTCAGAAAATGTTTGCTCCCTACACAAGAACCATTCACCATTTGGTGATGTTTGTTCGCGAGCCTTGGATCCAGTTTGCGTGGCATTTGCAACATGTGTGAGCCAGCTTCCGGTGGTTTGGTTTTAGGAAGAAGGACCATACGAACTCCTGGACACCCCAGCATGCCTTCGAGGCCCTGTGTGTATGAACCGGAAACCTGCACCACCTGGGCTTCGAAGTCTGTTACTGATCACATATATTCGGCAAATATACGGAGACACAGGCAGCCTCAAAAATGGTCCCAGTCGTCGGCTGGGCCCCATTCAAGGTTGAGGAAACTGGTGGTTCCAGTTTGACAAAAGGAGAAGGGGCCAAATGACCAAAGGACTAGGACTAGGGAATCGGGAAATTGTGATGCAGTTCTTGGCGTGTCCATTCTTTTGGCGGTGCTCAGCCTCCAATCTACATAGGGGCACGCGAGGAGGATGGAGTCATATCGAAGGGATCTCCTACACTTGGTTTTCCTCACTCACCATTAGAGGGTGAGAACTAGTATGGTAAAGGCCTTGTGCGGCTCAAGGATCATCAGCGTGGCCAATCTGCAAGCTCTCTCAGCTGATTCGGCCTATCCAAATACAAGTCGGTCCATTGGCGGGTCAGCTGCATCTGTTTTAGAGCATGTGTCGTATTGAAGTTTTGCAACATCCCTTCCGAAATTCGCACCTGAGGTCCAGTTAAAACCTTCTAAGCTGCAGTGGAATTGTACCGCTTCTTGTGACCATCTAGAAACTAGCCGCTTTCGGATGCCAATTAATTTATATAGCTTATATAATTTTCTACGAATTCGCGGTTCAAATCACCTTCTAGACTTGTTTTGAGACATGCTGCATTAATAAGCCTGGCTGCTTAGCTTTTCATGTCATCTGGAGCCTGTGCATATGCAGTCTCGTAGGGCAATATCTTGGGCAATTGGTAACACGCAGGGTGGCGGCAAGTATGTAAAAGCTTCCTTTTTCCTGTGTCTGGCGATCGAACTAGAAACTCGAGCCTTTGCTCAGAAAACACTTGCTATCACCGATTCTAATGCCTGCCGAGCATTCCAAGCACTAAAACTGCCGATACTCTAACATCTTCCAACAGCTTGTGCAATCCGAGGCCCCTTCTACAGGTGGATCTTGCTCCGCTAAACCATCTTGGCCAGCCTGGAAATCGCTTATGCACAACAAAACTACCTTGGTTGAGTCGAATGCTCTTGTTCGCAGCCCAGGCGCTTGGCATTTCTCAATGAAACCAGTTGCCTGGAGGCTCTGCAACGAGGTGCACAAGCTGCTTTGCCAGGCGAACTTCCCAGGCCTTTTGCAACATCTGAGTTCGAATAGCCAGCCGCCGCATTTGCAGGTGCACCTGAACCCAAGTGGCTGGGAACTACTAGCGCCAAGTTGATCTGATGCCCACCTTCTGCATCTGAGTGTGTGACAGCTGCCTCGTTGCATGCTTTCACATCGCTGAAGTTGAGAGTTAGCCTGACGGGACTGAAAAGTAGGGGGCAAAACTGTATCAAGTTCTCTCAGCTTCGGAAGCTTGGGAGTGGGCGTGAAGTAGGTGCTGATTGGTGGATTGTACCTTCTGCAGCCACAAATGTCAAACTCCACTGGCGATCTGTTACCCACAGTACACCCAATCCAGAGCCCCCGTTGCGGCACGCAATTCCTAAGCCAAGTCACGCGATAGCTTCTCCGTGCTTCATGCCCGGCTGGTGGGCATTCATGCCAATCCTGAGGAATATTAATGAATCGGTGTAATCGCGCTTACTAGGGACACACTTTGCAAGCGCTTTGCCATTATGAACCATTATGACACTTGCGTGGAATTGAGCAAGGTCTGTGGAACAAGCCAAGATTGGAACTCAAATGGCTCAAGACTTCTGTCAGAATTGCAACTGGCTGCCACTCCTCACCCCTTTGTTCTATAAATCTGAGGGCCCAAGCTGAAGAGTTCTTGGGTCGCTCCTGTCAATGAGCGACTGCACCTGACGCAATAACCTTAACCTTGCAAAGGGCTCCAACTCCAACAGCACAAAGTATTGGCTTTCCATTGCTCATCAGGGTCCACTCTGTCACATTTCAGCGATGCGAGTACCCAGTGCCTGCCACAATGGCCAAACTGTAGTAATGACCTTGGCGACTACTGGTTTACTTGATAAACGATGGCAGCACGTTCCAGACATGACATACCAACCATGTATGTCACAATGATGCATGTTTCATGTGTGCCTCGATCTACGCATGCATACATACAGTAGCCATGCTAGCCCACATGACAACGCAAGGGCGCGGCAGCCTCATCGGAGCTTCGTGGGTCGGCCTCATGGGACAAGTCGCTCAAGAACAAAAGGATAAGAAACCGAAATTGTTACAGTAAGTGTCCCTTAAAATCTAGAAACCAAATCATTAGTGCGAGCGAAGGAGGCTTCCCCCCCGGGGGAGCTTCCTTGAAAAAGTCTGAGCGATCCTGCGTCCTAAGTAGTACAGTAGCCACTTGTAGCTACTACCTACCTCTCGCCACTACCTACCTCCTAGCGGCCTACCGGCCACACACACAAAAACATCACTCTGCTTACCGCGGCTTATCCCATGTCATGTGGTCTTTGCCACTCGCTCTGAAGATCCAACGAGGATAAGCCACGTGGGGTCCAACATAAGGCGCCGCTGTGCCCTGGCAGGCTGACATTTGTCGGAGGTTCAAGAGTAAAGCTTTCAGAACGAGATGTTCATGGTGTCGTTGATGGTGGTTACAAGAAGAGGTGTCAAGGCATTCTTCAGCAGTTTTGCTTTACACGAAGCTTACAAGCGTCTAGAGTCTAGAATGCTGAGATTTCGGCTTCGCTGGGGATGCCAAACTACAGCTGATGCCTGTCAGCAACTGATGAGAGCTTCCAGGGCCGGAGACTCGACCTTACTCATCTATATGATCACCCTCTCTGCAACCCAGTGTGCTTTCCCACTGCACGGCCTGGCACGTCCATAAATGAATGCCACTACTTCATGGCATGGTATGGCAAGAGTCCATCACATCTTAAAATGGATGGACATTCAATCGAAGCTGCTGCCAGCTTTTCAGACCATAGCTCGCAAGCTTGATGGTCCTTGGCAGCCGTCTGCTAACTACAAGTAACTACAAGTCGGAGTAATGTCTTTGGAAGACTCCTGGATTGGACCGGCCCCTCGAAATCTGCATTCGATGACCCTCGCTGACTCACAAGTGTCCAAGGAGTCGTCAACTGCCCACCGGCTACATGGATTTGGGGAGCCAAAGCTGGCTTCCAGATTGCCTAGCACGTCTACTTGCAGTCCAATTGGTGTCGTGAGGTCTTCGAAAGAGCTTCGCAGTCCACCTACCACGGCGTGTATTTGCGGTGAGTGTGCATGTATATGTGCATAGATTTATAGAGAGAGAGAGAGAGCGGGTAGTGATGGGGGGTGGGGTTGTGAAAGTTGTGATTTTGTAAGGTTTTTCTCTTTTTGCAGATGATATGACATTGATAGGGTTGTGAAAGTTCTTTTTTTGGTAAGGTTTTGCTCTTTTTGGAGACGATACCACATTGATAGGATTCTGAAATTGGTGATTTTTTTGCTCTATGTGCAGTTGGTAAGCATATTAGTTCATTCAACTATGTACTACAAAAATGAATAAATCCAAAAGGTGAGGTGTTTACTAAAAAGTTCTTGGATGCAGTAATCTAATGCCACGCAGCCCCCATGCAAACCCATATTTCTTGTTTTTAGAGTGTGAATTGCATTGCTCTTATTGAACGCAGTTGGGTAATTACATCAAAATCAGAAGGCAAAGAATTACACACCTCAAATAAACAAATTCTAATCTAATTCTAAGCCAATTCAAATATGTAAATTCAGATTTCAATCTTTTTCAATCTATTTGGTGTTCAATGCAAGCCAAATTTTAATTTGATTTTAAGCTACCTTTAATTTCATGCTATACAATTCAGGTTCAATTCTATTATCTTATTCTTTTTCAATTCAATTTTATTTTTTATGAAATTCTCACTTACTTCAATTTTAGTTTTTATAAAATTCTATTTTACTTCTAGAGAATTGGTGTTTCTGTGAGCATGAGAGACAGCGCGGGCAACCCGGCCTGCTATTTCGCGACCAACCGGCCGGCCGGCTGGCCAAATAGCGGCCGGCCGGCCGGCTGGCCATAGCGGCCGGCTAGCCGGGCGGCCAAGTAGTAGTAGTAGTAGTCGTCGTCGTCGTCGTAGTAATAGTGGTGGTGGTGGTGGTAGTAGTAGTAGTAGTAGCAGGAGGAGGAGTAGTAGTAGTAGTGGTAGTAGTAGTAGTAGTAGGACTAGTAGTAGCCGAAGTCGTAGTAGTAGTGGTGGTAGTAGTAGTAGTAGCAGTAGTAGAAGTAGTGCGGTAGTAGTAGTAGTAGTAGTAGTAGTAGTAGTAGTGGTAGTAGTAGTAGTAGTGGTAGTAGTAGTAGTGGTGGTAGTAGTAGTAGTAGTGGTAGTAGTAGTAGTAGTAGTAGTACTAGACTAGTAGTAGTAGTAGTAGTCGTCGTCGTCGTCGTCGTCGTCGTTGTCGTGGTAGTAGTAGTAGTAGCAGTAGTAGTAGTAGTAGGAGTAGTAGTAGTAGTATTAGTATTAGTAGTAGTAGTAGTAGTAGTAATAGTAGTAGTAGTAGTAGCGATTTCTTCCACGGCCCGCCGGCCGGCTGGCACCTTGATCGGCCGGCCGGCCATGTACTAGTAGTAGTAGTAGTAGTAGTAGTAGTAGTAGTGGTGGTGGTGGTGGTGGTGGTCGTAGTAGTAGTAGTAGTCGTCGTCGTCGTCGTAGTCGTAGTAGTCGTAGTAGTCGTAGTAGTCGTAGTAGTAGTAGTAGTAGAAATAGCTGACGGTCGTTGATCAGGCCGCCGGCCGGCCGGCTGGGCTGTGGATCTTGGCCGGCCGGCCGACCGGCTGGCTGGACCGTGGACCTTGGCCGGCCGGCCGGCTGGACCGTGGATCTTGGCCGGCCGGCCGGCCAGCTGGACCGTGGTTCTTGGCTGGCCGGCCGGCTGGCTGGCTGGCTGATCGAGAAATAGCGGGCCGCGATAAGCTCGCAATGGAGAGTTTTCCAACATGGAAGCATTTGCTTTCTTAAATGAAATAAATTCACACCCCCAGCAACACCCACTCTCCAGAATGAAATCAAAACTGAATTAGAATTCCGTTTACATTGAATTGGAATCAAATTAGACCTACATTAGACATATAGAAATCAAAACTAAATTGCAATGACAATAGTGCAAAATTAGATGTGTAAAGCAATTGAATCTGAACTGTATAAAGGCATTAACATTAGAAATCACCTACAAGTAAGTTGAAAGAAGCAAAAATTGCCATTCAACCCAAAGCAATGAATTAGGAATAAATTGGAATTAACTTGGAATTGAATGAACAACATTAAATCAAAAACCAGTACTTAAATTGACATTGACTTAGACCTAAGGTAGAATCGAAGGAGAGTCGTTTAACCTAGCGCATGGTTAGTAGAACAGTATGTACTTGGAATCAGATTATAAATAGATTCAATTAGAATTGGGCTAGAATAAAAATTGCAGACTCAAATTGAATTCAATTATATAGAATTCAGTTATGCTCAACTTAGAATTAGATTTGAAGCATGTTGCAGGTTCACATTTAAACTCAAATTTGAATTTAGTATTAGACCCAAAGTAGCCCAACACAATTAGAACTATAATATAATTGAATTAGAATAAAAATTGAATTGGAACTTGGCTACAGCGAACTTTAAAGTACATAGACTTAGTTTAGAATTCAGGTAGGCTCAACTTAGAATTAAAGTGGAAGTATGTTACATACTCAAGTTAGGTTAAATTTAAACTTCAATTAGACTCAAAATTGTATGTAAATTAATGAGAAATGAATGAGAAATAAGTTTTGTGCACTTTTTGGCAGACCAGCCAAAACCACCCAAAAAAAAAAAGTTCAGACCCATGGAGAGGCTGGACAGGAGACATAGGTCTGAACTTGTTGGCTTTTTTGTTTTTGAGCGCTTTTTGGCAGCCAAAAACAAAAAACAACAAAAAGTTTAGACCCATGGAGAGGCTGGACAGGAGACATAGGTGTGAACTTTTTGGTCTTTTTGGTTTCTGCCAAAAAGTGATCAAAAAAACAAAAAAATCAGACCTATGTCTCCTGTCCAGCCTCTCCATGGGTCTGAACTTATTGTTTTTGGTTTTGTTTTTTTGAGCACTTTTTGGCAAACCAGCCAAAACCCAAAAATAAAACAATTCAGACACATGGAGAGGCTGGACAGGAGACATAGGTCTGAACTTGTTGTTCCCAAGATAGCGAAGCTATGGGGTTCTTACTTCAAATAACAATGAGTTGCCCGCGCGCGCTTTCAAGACAGGTTGCTGGCGCTGGGTGCCGGTGCTGGTGCTGGTGCTGTGAGCTGGCTGGGGGACAGGTTGCTGGTGCTGGTGTCGGTTGCCGGTGCTGGTGCTGTGAGCTGGCTGTGCACGTGGTGGAGACAGGTTGCTGGTGCTGGTGCCGGGCGCCGGTGCTGGTGCCCGCTTCTGACAGTGGAGTGCTAACAACCGCCGCTTCTGACAGCGAAGGGTAACAAACCGCCGCTTGCAGCAGCGAAGGGCGACCAAGCGCCGCTTCTGACAATGAAGCGCCAGCAGTCATGGGCCGCATAAACTTATGCGCGCAACATCATACGGTGTTGTCGCTTGAGCGTTCTTTGTCTATTTGCGCTGTGGGGTATTTACAGTTCTGTTTTGGCCGGCAGCTGTGTCAAGGGCTGTACTGCTTGCACGCATACTTTTCTACGTATTCCATGCGCAACGTCGGGCTCTCAACCGACCATTGTTCCAGCATGTTTCAGCATGCTACACACACAATAGTCGTGCTGGATACTGCTTGGCCTTCGGCGAGTGAAGCCTACGGGCTTTGTTTGCCGTTTGCGCGCATACTTTTGTGCGCATAAACTTTTACGCGCAAGGTCATACGGCCGTATCGCCCTGCAGATCGTTGCCTCAAGCATGCTAGAAAGTCAATAGTGGCGCTGGATACTGCTTGGCCTTGGGCCAATGACGCTTACGGGCTTTGCCGTTTGCACGCATACTTTTGTGTGCATAAACATACATGCACAAGATCATACGTTGTTATTCTGCAAATAGGGATAGCTATGGGGTTCTTGCTGCAAATAAGAATGAGCTGGCTGCGCTTTCGAAAGGGCGTCGGTGCTGGTGCTGTGAGCTGGCAGCTGGTTGAGCGCGCTTTTAAGACGGGGAGGTGACGGGGAGGTGCCACAAGCTGGCTGTGCAGGCTGCGTGCATTCTTGCTCCAGCCAGTCGCATGTCAACAGGTCGTGGGATTCTGCCTAGCTATCTGGGCCTATGCTGGTGTATTTGTTTGTTTTTTGTTTTTGAGCACTTTTTGGCAAACCAGCCAAAACCAAAAAATAACAAAAAGTTCAGACCCATGGAGAGGCTGGACAGGAAACATAGGTGTGAACTTTTTGGTCTTTTTGGTTTCTGCCAAAAAGTGATCAAAAACACAAAAAAATCAGACCTATGTCTCCTGTCCAGCCTCTCCATGGGCCTGAACTTATTGTTTTCTTGTTTTGCTTTTGAGCACTTTTTGGCAAACCAGCCAAAACAAAAAAAATCAGACCCATGGAGAGGCTGGACAGGAGACATAGGTCTAAACTTTTTGTTTGTTGTTTTTGTGTTTGAGCACTTTTTTGCAGATCAGCCAAAACCACCCAAAACCAAAAGAAAAAGAGTTCAGACCCATGGAGAGGCTGGACAGCAGACATAGGTCTGAACTTTTTGCTTTTTTGTTTTTGAGCACTTTTTGGCAGACCAGCCAAAACCAAAAAAAAACACCCAAAAAAGAAGTTCAGGCCCATGGAGAGGCTGGACAGGAGACATAGGTCTGAACTGTTTGTTTTTTGTTTTTGAGCACTTTTTGGCAGACCAGCCAAAACCAAAAAAACACTCAAAAAAAAAAACAAAACAATAAGTTCAGACCCATGGAGAGGCTGGACAGGAGACATAGGTCTGAACTTTTTTTTTTTTGGTTTTTGAGCACTTTTTGGCTGACCAGCCAAAACCAAAAAAAAAGTTCAGACCCATGGGGAGGCTGGACAGGAGACGTAGGTCTGAACTTTTTGTTTTTTGTTTTTGAGCACTTGTTGGTCTAAACTTGTTGTTTTTTTCTTGGTGTGTCTATTGTGTTCAGAAGCTAGTTTTGCATTTGCTAATGTTTACATACCACTATCCTTACAAAAGCCTGCGTTTCTACAATCTACACCACTCCACCCCCCATGGCTATCCCTTCTGTATATATATATATCACATCGTGTGTGTGTGTGTGTTTTCATTATGCATGTTTAGAATTGTTGAGATTTGTATCCACATACGATGAAACTGTGCGGGTTGCTTGACCTTGTCTGCATTATCCCTCACGACAGCATCGAATTGATTTTGCAGGTGAAATCGTCAGAGGGCAAGGCAGGGAGGCTCGATGTATGCGCGATCCTCTTCATGTACGCATTGGCAGAGTGGCCACCCCTGAGCATGCCGAGCAGCTGACAATGTTATATAACTATCGCAAGATATCAAGATGCTTTAATCGTTTCAAGGCCCTCTAGAGCCAAGATACACCTCAATCTGCTTCAACTCGTGACTTCGCCTGTGGTGCAAACACCCGTCCATTGGCTCTTCACAGGTGGCGGAGCAACCTTGCACTCAAGCCAAGCCACTGCAAGTCTCTCGCATGGCAGAAGCTTTCTGCCACTTCCTTCCTGAGATATGGCTGTTGCTTCACAGCCTCTATCCCAACCAACGAATCCAAAGAGTTGAGCATAATGAAGTAAATCATAAAATAGTGGAGAACGTGGTGTCCTCTACGACCGCCATGCCAAGTTGCTTGAAAACTCTTTCCACTTGTCTCGCCCTCTGGGTTCTTCGGTCAACAAGATCCTGCATGTCTGCGTACTCTTGATGGTCACTTTCCTCAGGTCCCAAACTGGCTCCCCTCAAAGCAAGCATCTTCAGTGTTGGTTGCGCAATTTGAATGGTACAAGCACGCGTTCTTCCAACAAAAGCTCTCCCCTTGCTACCCAAACGCTATATACTACTACAAGAACCAAGGGCAAGCAAATGTGCATGCAAACTTCAGCTCTGGGTGTTGAATGTTGGCCCTGGAATGTCACGTAATGCTGTCAAGGTGCAGCGTTCTTGTAACGCAAAGCTCTTTCACGAGCCTGCACAGAAAGAAAAATTGAATGAACGTGGAATTAGGCTGTGACCGTTTCCATCCCATGACCAAAAAGCACTGCATTTGAGCATCTTTCACTCAATCGGCTGGCAGTCTCAGACTGGCCTGTACCTGGTTGATACTCCGCTGTTCTTGTAGCATCCGATTCTGCCGTCGCAGGACCTCTCGATTAAGCCCAGCCACTTGGTCCTTGGGTTTGGATGTCATGTTGTCATGATTCATGTTTTTACTTGTCTACACAGTGTTATTGTGTCATGCATGACAAACAATTATATAAGTATACAATGTGTATATATCCATATTATGCAGCACATCCAGATGCACATGCAACTTGAGAGAGGAGGGGGGTGAACGAAAGGTAGCAGGGAATCAGGCGTAATCCGGGAGGAGGTGAGAGGCCCCCCACTTGTTTGAAGAGAAGTGAGTGAGCGTGATGAAAGAAAGACTAGTGCACAAACGCTTGACAAAACCTCCAGAAGCTGTAGCGGTCTAGCGGTTTCAATACAGGTTGACGTGCCTTCAAAAGGAGTCACATATTTCTCAAATGCAACTTCGGATTTACATAGTGACGTGCGGCGACCCTGTAAATTGCGTGGCCGCAGGCCATGCTTGCAAACAGGACGTGCTCAAAAACACTGGTATTTACGAGGTTTCGTTGCCGTCGATCCACAGCCGCGGCAAGGTCTAAGGCCACGCTTGAAGACAGGAGGAGCTGAAAACACTGGTATTTACGGTATTTTGTAGCCGTCGATCCAAAGGCGCACCACGGTTGAGCGCTGGAAAAGCGCAGAAAACCGTGTAAATACCGGCGTTTTCTGCCGGGAAGGTGCACAAAACCCTGTAAATACCATAGCTTTGTGCAATTTTGAAGCCTCCAAAAGTCTCAAAAACCCTTTCTGACAAAATCTTTCCTGGTTTTTGGTCTTTTTTCGGTCATTTTTCTAACCGAGACGCATCAAAAACCATCGGTTTTTGCGGTGTTTTTTGCCGGACAGCCACAAAAAACGCTGTAAATTCCATGATTTTTTGTCACTGCTGAGGACTGGAAGAGCTGAAAACACTGATATTTACAGTGTTTTCGAACGGTTGACCCCGAGGCGCGCTAGGGTGGAGTTGAAAGGGGGGGCGGGCCCCCCCCCCGGCCAGCAAACGAAGATGTCGGGGACCATTTCTCCGAGAGATAGGCTGCAGCTCTGGGTTAATACATTTTTGCTAAAGCAAAAGGAAAACTCAGGTAGCGTAACCGCTACCTTTCGTGACAAGGATTGTAGCTGTCGATGCTTGACATGTCATAGGGGCTCACACAAAATGGCAGCTAGTAGATGGAAATGGAGGGTTTGTTGACTCCTACCGGGGGCCCATGTGTTGCTAGAGACTGCCATCTATTTGTTGCTAACTTGAGGCCAGTGGGGAGGAGGCCGAAAGCTAGCCGAATCGCACCGGATGTACTAGTTACATAGTCGGCAAAGCATGTAGCAGTGATTACATGTTTTGGAGAAAGGTTGCTACGTACACACTTTGCGCAAAGAATGTAAATGTGACATCGCCGACTGGGAAGGGTACGTTGGAACAACACGGGTGCACTCGTTGGCAGGCACGAAGATGCGTGATCGGCAAATCTGGGGGGTAAATTTACCCCCCGCTTTTGTATGTCTTGAGTCGGAAAGAGGGGTAAGCATTTCTGACATCACACGGACTGTACATACACTAGGGCGTCCGTAGGGTAGGAGAAGCACCGGTAAATGGTATATGGAATAGGGTGTCTTGAGGAAATAGCCGGCTTATGGTTATTGCAATTCTGGAGGGTAAATTTACAACCCGCTTATGTATGCCTTGTGCCGGAAAGAGGGGTAAGCATTTTTGGCATCACAAGGACTGTGCATACACTAGGGCGTCCGTAGTGTACGATAAGCACTGGTAAAAGGTATAAGGAGTAGAGTGTCTTGAGGAAATAGCCGGCTTATGGTTATGGCAAATCTGGTGGGTAAATTTACCCCCCCGCTTATGCACGCATTAGGCTAGAAATAGGGTAAAGAACTTGTAGCAGTGAAGTACAAGGCCTATGCAGCAAGCAGCAGCCAGCAGCAGCAGCAGCAGCAGCAGCGGCCAGCAGCCAGCAGCAGCGGCCAGCAGCCAGCAGCCAGCAGCAACCACCAACCAGCAGCCAGCCAGCAGCACCACGCAGCAGCAGCGCAGCACCAAGCAGCACCACCACCAGCAGCAAGCAGCAAGCAGCAGCAGCAGCAGCGGCGTCGTCAGCAACAGCAGCAGCGGCACCAAGCCGCAACAAGTAGCAAAGCAGCAGCTACAAAAGCGGCAACCAGCGGCAGCAGCAAACAGCAGCAGCAAACAGCACAGCGGCAGCAGCAGCACCGTTTACACCAAGCCACCGTTTACACCCAACCAACCACGTTCACACGTTCAACCAACCCCCGCTACACGGCGCAGCTGGGAGTTGAACCGTGGGGGGGGGGAGGGGGGGAGTTAGCGTGACATATCAAGCTTTAAGGCACACAGCTCATCCCACTACCAATTGCTAAAGCCAAGAAGAACTTGGCTAGCATGCTAGCTTTCGTGATCAAGCTTTAAGGCGCGCAGCTCATCTCACTTCCAATTGCTAAAGCAAAGAAGAACTCAGCTAGCATGCTAGCTTTCGTGATTACCTACCGCTTTTGTATGCCTTGGGTAGGAAAGAGGGGTGAGCATTTCTGAGATCACACGGACTGTACATACACTAGGGCGTCCGTAGTGCAGGATAAACACTGGTAAAAGGTACAAGCAGTTCCCGGGCAAGCCGGCGGCGGAAGTTTCCAAAAGAATAAACCTATAGGAAATGGGCATGTGGCAGGCTGATTCGCCGAGCTGCGATGTTCTTTGACAAAACAAGTTGGAACCGACCAATGGAGCGCAAGCGAAGCAACCACCGTCAACTGTCTCCCAGGAAAAAACCGTTGTTCATGCATTTTTGCAAAATACAGAATAGAGATGACTCAGCCGCGTACTAAAGTTGTACTACAAAGTCGCCAGTTCTCAGCTTCCAGCTCCACGGCTTGCTCCGCGTACTAGAGTTGCACTACAAAGTCGCCAGTTCTCAGCTTCCAGCTCCACAGTACTAAAGTTGTACTACAAAGTCGCCAGTTCTCAGCTTCCAGCTCCCCAGATTGCTCCGCGTACTAAAGTTGCACTAGAAAGTCGCCAGTTCTCAGCTTCCAGCACTACAGATTGCTCCAGCTCCACAGATACTCCGCGTACTAAAGTTG